AAATCCTTGTAAATAATTCAATATTAGTTGAAAAATCATCTAACTTTGGGCAATTAACTATTTTAGAATTTAATACTAAGTACACTTAGGTCTCTTTTTATGCGGATTTTTTTATGCGGATTTGAATTTATGCGGTTTTTCAAGCCATTATTTCGCAGTAGCGATTTTGCTTTTTTGAGAGTTTTTATTACTTTTTTCAGTGTGTAACGACAATGCTTCTGATAAATAATTTGTCTGTATTCTTACATAATAATAATAATAATAGATTGGCGCTTGCACATAAGTGGAGCTTCTCCTCCACTTTGTTGTGTGCGCCTTGATATCGTCACACAAAGGGGAGGGACCTACAGTTTTACGCCGACTCCGAGCGGCGATTGTATTTTTACGAGAAGCTGTTTTTCATGGCAGAAATACACTCGCCGCCTTGCCTGCCGAGGGGCGACCGCTGTTAAGAAAAAACTTTTATTTTTTTAATTTTTTTTTATGTGTTCTTACATAATTCATGTATTTATTGTGGTATTTTTTGTTTTTTGTTTCTGGTTAAAATACAGATAAAATTTTATTTATTTCATTAATGTTCGGTTTTACATGGAATAATAAGTGTTGAAGTGAAGAAATAAATAGGTTTTTTTGCTCAATAAACCCGCACTGAATTTTTTATGCGGTTTTTTAGATTTTTTTACCTGGAGTATCTGAATTTATGCGGTTTTTGAAAATGCTGGAACGCATCCCCTGTTTTTGTACGAAAGTGAAGAACTTTTTTATGCGGATTTTTTTTATGCGGCTTTCTGAGGAACGCATGTACCGCATAAAAAGAGACCTAATTGTAATTTTAAATTGGTTGAAAATACATCTGCAAAGGAAACATTTTGTCTTTGAAGTGCTTTATGCCAAATGCATTTTAAAGTAGTTGAAATCAATGCAGAGTCGGATAATTGACTAATAATAATCATTGTTTATTGTTGATCGAAAAAATTAAAATCAAGTAATAATAATTCCCTTTGAGCGAAACAATAAAACTCAAATATTGATTAATATTTTTAACCTTTATTGATTAAACTCGAAAAATCATTATAAATTACAGTAATACGTATAAATTACAAATACGTGAGTATAGTTAATTATGTTTCTCGTCGATTACTGCTTGTTGATTTTTTTGGCAAAAATGTAAAAAATAATGATTATTTTCCATGCCTGAACATAACTGAAAGTCCTCCCAACTGGTAAGACACCAATCAAAACAAATTTAAGATATTGTTAAGTTTCGCACGCAGATATTTGTCACCTCCACCAGCTGGTGCTCCGAGCTGCTCCGTGGAATAAGGCCGCGTGTATTAAGACCGCGATCCAAAAATAAAATTAGGCTGCGCGGGCATAACGTCGCCTAGGTAAAAGATTGCCGTATGTTGATTTCGGCAGGTTGTGGGAAATCGCGATTGAAGTTTGGAATGCAATTTCTCAAAAACGCGAGGATAGAATTACTCCAAAGTCTCTGAAAATGTTACTAGTACACAAAATTCTTAAATTATTTAATTTTTAATGTTTACTGTTAATTAGTTTTGAGTTTATGAAGGATTTTATTTAGTAAAATTTTGTCGTAAGCGTCATTTGTCCACAATTTGGCAGCCACATTGTATGAAATACGACAAAATGTGATCAAAATTTCTACTAAATTAATGCCACTTTATAATAAATATATAGGAAACTAAAAGAGATATCCAAAAACGGAGAACGACATTTTTAAGATATTGATTAGTTTAATATGACTGCATCACTAACTAAATTTTTATTAAGTTATCGAAAAATTTTTAGTCAATATCTCGGAAACTAAGGAAGATATCTAAAAGCACATAACACCAATCCAAAGATCTTATTTCAAAATATATAACTGCAATTATAACTAAAAATCGTCAAAATTGCGCCTACGGCAATCTTTTTTTTACCCAGGCGACGATAAGCAAAAAATACCAAAAACGAAAAAATAATAAGGGTACTCATCGATTCGCGCAAGTTTTATATTTGGGCAATTAGGCAACTTTGCGCAGTGTGTTTCATGAGGACAATTTTATATTCTGTGCAATTTCAGACATTTAATTATTTGACAATGTTAATTTAAAAAGTTGAACAATTGAAACTCGAATTTAAGAAAATATTTGAGTCTTACGAAAAAGCGTTGAGCACAATTCAAAATGAAAGTAAACAAAATAGTTAATTGAGGGTTGCACATCACACTGCGCAAATTTGCGTGGCAAAATTTCCGCGCAAACTTGCCCTTTTTGTGCAAATAGCTTTCAATACAAATTTTGACATTTCATTTGCGAGGGTTTTAAATTGCACAGTTTGCCCAGTTTGCGAGAGTTTTGCGCTTTTAAATGAGTACCCTTAATAATTTTTTTCATAAATAACCTTTTTTTGAAAGAAGTGCATAATTAATGCTAAAGAAATTTATATTATTTAGAAAGTACAAGTTATTACGTTTATTTTTATATATACATAAGTATATAGAACAGTTTTGTGCGTAGGCGGCCTTTGGCCGCGCTTAGGGATTATAACCCTCACTAAGTAGAATTCTCCTTTCTGTGTTGCCAAAGAAGAGGGGCGTGGAACACCTTTTGCAGATAACACCTTTCTTTATTTTGTGGTTTGATTTGTCGACCAAATGAAAAGTAAAATTTATTTGTGATTTGACGCGGATAATTGGATTCTGCCAATTAAAAACGATCAAAAATTGAAATTAGGCCGCGCGGCGTAATTCATTTTGCCAAGTGAAATTAGGCAGGAAAAAAGGACGCGGCCTTAATTCACCCGGTCTAAATTCCATCCCCCGCTCCGAGCGAGCAGTTATTTAGTGTAGAAGCTTTAATTTACGACGATTTAAGAAACAGGTGAAATGTGAGCAATTTGAGCTACGAGTTCAAACCTTAATTTTCGATTTGGTGAAACGAAAATGTTGATAAATAGGTTACTTTTCAGGCAGATTTATTGCTTTTCATTACAATGGGAAATATTCCTAGGCAAAATGGAAATTGCCTACCAAAATTTAATCAGTGAAAAGTGTCACAATATCGTAAGTTTTTACTGGTTTTGCATTCAATAACTATTTCTGATAGTTTTCCTCCCAATTTTACTCTAAATTTTGTCTTTGCGCTCTAGCTGTTGGCATTCAGTGGAAATGTCCTTGATCAAGGTTGCACTGTTAGTTCGTTCTACGCGCCGTTTAGGCTGGGTCCGGTAATTAAAGAGTAAAATATATAACTCTCTCATAAGTGTTAGAAAGTACCCAGATCGTGAGGAAAGCAAAACCACACTTCGTGCCCGGAATCGAAAAACCAGCTGATTTAAGTGCTTTTGCTGTAGTTACTTAAAGCCCAAGACTAAGTTTATCGTTTACGATCCAACAGTGCAACGTATTCGCTCTCTATTACCCATTCTTCCAGCGTGAGGAACGCTTTCTGATCTGTCCACCTGCGGGACCCACGGGCTCGCGGGGAACAGCGCTATTATGGGTATTTACCAGGAAATCAGTAAAAAATATATTTATGTATATCCAAATAATAAGTAATTTCAAATGATTCATTGAACACCTGGCCGTTTTCGCTAAAAACATTGCACACCTGGCCGTTTTCATTCAACATATTTAACACGACGAGAAAGCGAGCCCTTGCCCGATAAGAAACGCCATTTGAAATATTTACCGATAAATTAAAAGATAAAGAATACAAGTGGCTAAGTTCGGAAGAGACCTATTTTTTATACCCTACGTATATGTATGTATATGCTTTCCAATGTTTTCACAATTTCAGTATGTATATATTGTGTACTAGATCGTTCTCACCCGCTTCGCTGAGTGTATGAAGTTTCTACGTGCTACATTAGGTGTAATTTATTTTAATTAAATGCGAAAATCAGGAGACCTCAAATTTTTTAAATATCTTCAAAATATTTTCAAATTAAAACTATCTTAAACCTCTCTCTTGTGATACTTTTTCATACTTATGTACATGTAGTTTAGAAATGAAGCCGTTTCCAAATCATTTCGATTGGTACCCATATTGTAATAATTCAATGAAATAATTGAAAATTTTGAATTTTAGTTTTTAAACCACTAACTCCTATAATTCAAGTTGAATTTGAATTTTCAAACATGTGGAGTCCCTACTTGACATATGCTTTTTAGAAATAAAGCCTTCCTTTCTTCCTTCCTTGAAGACTCTTCCGATTAAAACCTAGATTGTAATACCTCATTAAACTTATAATAGCAGGCTAGCAAGACATATCTGGCCTAAGCTTGACAAACGTAGATCTCGCCCTCCCCTCCACTTGGAGCGACCACTGTTGCGGCATGTTATTGAAGCTCTCACCAGGCATTGCCAGATGGGAATCCACGACTACTGTCGTAGTTGCCGCGATGAGGAGGAACTCGAAAGCGTGGAGTACTCAATAAATTGTGTGCAAGGAATCAATTAAGTATATATTTTCCTCATTTGAGCTAAACTCGAAAAATCCTGAACCCATAGATCCCTATAAATACAGTTTCTTCCGATATTAGAAGCAATGTAGTTTTGTGGCATAATCCGTGGAGCTGAACGATTGATGATGATGAAACACGTTTTTTTAAATCATAAAATAACAAATTTCTCCTGACGGTGACGCTTTTAACGTGGTCTTGAATGTTTGCCTTACCCACATTAACAAATTTCCACATATCCTACAATGCGCTTCAATGCTGTTGGAAAGGAGTTTCCTATTTAAAATTAACGCGAATGTACTTAAGTATATGTTTATATTAATTAGCATTACAAATAGGATTTAATAAACATTTTAACAGCACTTGATAAATTAAAAATTTTTATGATTTGTAAATTTTTTATTATTTATCAAGAATTGGGATTCTAGCACAGAAATAAAAAGATCTTTTCTTTATAAATTATGAAGATTGAAAGTGCTATTCACAAGCGTTTAAAAATTGAGATTTCCTTGGAAAATTATAAATTTTGTATATCAAATTATTTTTTTTCTATCATTTAAATATGTATGTGCCGGCATTTGAACCGCCTCACGTGGAATTATATTCGACATCTCTACCTACTCGGCTACCTATAAAAATTATATGGGTGTCTGCATTGGCGTTCATTAATAAACCAGGACAATTTAAGTGTGGAGCAGTACACCAGGACAATTTGCTTAAATCAGGACAAATCCTCGAAAACCAGGACGTCTGGCAGCCCCAACGTAGTATTATGGACATCTATAAAACTATCACTTGCATTTAGTTTTACTCGGTAGCGAGCCAACAAGTGTGATTTTGTCGCAAAGTGTATTATATTATTTGATGGGACAACTGTTCCTGCTGCGCTTAAGAACCTATTTTATTAAAGTAAATAGAGTCAATGCTAATGAACTGTTTTCTTAATTCTCTTGCAGATCAGATAACGCACTGATCCTGTGACCTATGACAAACTGCGGTATTTACCACAACAATAACAAAATTAATTCAAAATGTGCCTTTCGACACCGATCGTTTCCTCTTCGGAAGGTAGTACCTCAACAAAATCTGCTGTCTGTGCCAGTACAACCAATCTGAACAACAACACAAATAATAACAATAATAACGTTTGTACGTTGAATGCAGTCGGATGGAGCGATCACGACGAAAATATAAGTAAATCCAGTATTAGAAATAGAATATGCGACCCGCAAACACAAAAATCATGCGCATTCGTATGTAGCAACGTAACTGCGGCCAGTGAAGAAGATGAGCAATCCAAAGATTTAGTTGATAACTTAGGTTTTAATGAAGAAAATGCCGTCTACAAAGAAATTCCACATGCAACGGATTCGAATCAATCCATCCAAACACAGGCATGCAGCAGCGAATCCGAATACAACCCACAGATCAGGTGGTTAGACTTGATAGCCCAGATCTTTTTACATGGCGGTGCTCTGTATGGAATTTATTTGCTATTCCAAGCAAATTTCTACACATTTTTGTGGGGTAAGCAAAAAATGAGAATTAAATGCGCCACTGAGATTTCTGCTATACCTACGGTGACCATTCGTACCGATTTTGGCGTGACAGTACCGATTTTGAGAAAATTGTACCGATTAAGTCCCGGTTTTCAATGTTATCTTTATTAATTAAAAAAAAAATATAAAAATAATTTTTCGTACAAAAGTGGAGCACTTTCGTTATCACAAAGAGCATAGATTATAAGTGAGCCATAAATATAGCCAGCATCCTTATTATTGATATAATTGATAAATTTATATAAAATATTTAATACTAATACCTTAAAAAAATCGTGGATATGAAAGACATAAGCTGTAGATAGAGTTGCGAAGATATAAATAGGGAAGAGACATTTTAGCTTTCTTCGGCTATTTCCCTTATTTCTTTTTATGAAAGTGTGACTCATTATCTTTCAAAGACCATGTAAGTCAGAATTTGAAACCTTTGTACAAAAATTAGCAATATTCGAAAAATTTTCATCAAAAATTTGAGCTTTTTAGTTAGATTCTAACATAGATAGAAACATTCTGAGTATGCAGTTTTGTAACCGATTCAAATAAAAGCGCAAATTTTAAGTAGCCAGGACTTGCCTTTGATGTTTGGTAAAATTTATGAAAGGTGTTGCTCATTTTCTCCGTACAGAAATAGTTTTGAACATACTGTGTATGGAAGAAAATGCGCGAAGCGGCATTACCCAATTACCATTTTTGGTGGAGAGGTTTTTATATCATGAATTGGGGATTATAAATATAAAAGTTGTATTATCCTTTACCTTTTAAAAATAATTAATACCTTTTCTTAAAAACGTTTACATTTTACATTAAATTCCATAACTACTTGCCAAAATCTTTATTTTTAGATTGATAAAATTTTAGTGAACATATTTTAGATTTTATTACTTTGGAACCCGTGGGCCTCATGACTTTCAGAGATGTCAATATTTTCCATATTTTGGCAATATCGTTGTTTCTTTGGGTAAATATGTATATACTTTACTGTTCAATATTGGTGGGGGTGGGAAATAGGAATAGGAAGAGGATAAAATTAGCATTTTGACAGAGAAAATGTAGACTCTGGTTACGCCAACCACAGGATTTTTGTGCAAAATATCTTTCTGAGTTGTAAGCCTTCGGCCGCTGACCCCAGTATCTTGTACAAATTAGTCCATATTTCAAACGGAATTTATTAATAAATTTTTATCCGAAAGTTTGAAATGTTTACTTAAAACTAGCGTTCAATCGTTTGACCACACGCATAAGTAAAAATTTATTGATTCGGGTCACGCGTTTAGAAACAATAACCCAAAATTATTGTACAAATAACCCGCACCCAACAAAATAACTTTTGCTTGTTCAAATTTCGATTCTAAGAACAAAATGTTTTTAAATAAACAAAAAAGTTAATAATAACATTTGAAGGATTTTAGATATTGGGTATGGTAGCACGAAATGTCACAATCTGCTTAATTGTCCGGTTGTTATATGGCGATGAAAAAGTGACAGTTCTAGAAAATCTGATTAAAATGTTTCACATGGTGATGAACAATTATTCCGATTCGTCGAATTTTTTTAAATGTTCTACAAATTTTTAAATTTAGATTTACATGTTTTTTGAGATAGTACTTAAGTTATATTTTCATTAAAAAAAAAAACATTTTTATTTTTTTTCTCTCTGTTTTGTTTCCAATACAACTGTGTTCAGCCTTTTCCCCGCAAACATATTCAGAGCGTTCAGAATACCCATATGAGTCCGAAAGGAATCCTAGGTAGGTAAGAAATATGAGTTTCAAAAACAACAATTTTTTTACTCTTATATGAGCCAGCACCTTCTGCTAATATAAAAACAATAAAGTTTCGGACAAAAAAATAACAAATGTACATATTTGCAAATATAGTGCGTGAAATAAGACCCAAAGAACTACCTAAAATAAGAGTCCGAATGTAGTAATTAATGAGACCGATAAGAGCCTCAAAAAGAGTCTGAAATGATTCATATATGAGGCCGAAAACTGTTTAAAAAGAGTCCAAAATATATGAGGTATATGAGGCCAATAGGAGTCCAATATGACTCAAATTGAGGCTCATTTGATGTATGAATTTAAGTTCATATAAGTCGACCTTCGGAAGGGAAACACCTTCATATCGGACTCTTGAATGAGCTCATTATGGGCGTTTATGACTCAAAATGTTTGCTGGGTTTATTCTAAAAACAAAATTGTATGTTCGGATTCGATGCTTTAGAAATGTCCCCATTTTTGGCCACAGAATTCTGGTCACCGTAGCTATACCCCATGCATATTTATGTATGCATGTACATTAGGGTGGTCGTTAAAAAATCAAATGAGCGATTTTTTTTTCAGTCTAACTCCTTCAATCGGTAGCACTACAGTCACAGATATCACATAAAAATTTGGTCCCCATTGTAGGCGGTTAAGGCGTGTCGCACAGGGGCCAAAGTTCAGATTCCTCTATAGAGACACAAAAAATTAAAATTAATTTTTTTGCCAAGTCATATCCAAAATTGAATGTCGAATATATCACATATAAATTTTGGTCCCGATTGGAGTCGTTTAGGGCGTGTCGCAATGGGGTCCAAGGCCAGACCTCATAGGGTGATCTTGACCCCTGTGCGCCACGCCTTAACCGACTCCAATCGGGGCCAAAATTTATGTGTCATATCTTCGACTATAGTAGCATCGACGTAAGGGTTGCGGGCTAGGAAATCTGATGTAAAAAATTTGCTACCTTGTTTTAAGGACCACCCTAATGTACACACACACACACACACATGAATGGAAATTCATACATAATTTTATGTATAAGGGAATTATCAACGGGACAGTCCTACACATTCTATTTGAAAAATAACCAAAAATAAATTTTCAAAATACATATGTACATATGTATGTGCATACACATATGTATGTAAAACATATAAAATCAGCTTTATTTATGCCATTGTACATTTTACATTCATATTTACCAAAAAATATGGTATGAAAATGTTTTAGTAGGGCAGTCATATGCGTTCCTATTTATAGAAGGTGTAAAAGAAAAGACGCCTACACATTTTTTTAATATTAAAGTATCCACGAACTGCCATATTTTTTTTAACAATTTAGTATATTTAATGTTATTATGAATAAATAAAGGACAAATATACATACATTTGTAAAGCATGTGCTTACGGCGGCCGCTATAGAAAAGTGATTACAGTTGCGTACTTCCACTCGGTAGGGCCAAGGAAAGACCCAAAAGCTGTCGCACCTCGGCAGGCAATGATAAAACTTATGCCGATTTCGTTTCTACCGAAAAATGCAACCTTCTCTTTGCCCTTTACGCACAAACACTAAGATATGCCCACTTCGTAAGTAGAAATACTATAAAGATTATTTGTATAAACGAAAAGTTCACAAAGAGATCTTGTATTTCAATAACAATTTTATAACAAAAAACATGTTATATGTATGTATCTTTTATAGCCCAATTCTAACAGTGTGAACAAAATATATCTACAACTTCCTTTTTACAGTGCAGCTACCCTGGGCTTTTTATTTCTTTTGCTAACTTAACCACTAACAAGAATTTAATTATGTAGGTATGCATTCATATTCACAGTTCACTTTGGAAATTCGTATCGCTTGAATTTCGTTTTAGCAACAAAGTCCAAATTTATAGGGTTTAACTACAGAGACTGGTCGTTTGTTAATTGACCACTGTGTGTGAATATTAAAATCGATAGTTAAACCCTTGCCAGTGGTTAACTATGCACTATGAACTCGGCTTGTAGGAATTCAATAAATTACGAAAACTGACGGTTTTTATGGTGATAAATTCTTTTGAAATACTGTAGGGCTGATCGCAGAGAATATAAAGCTTGATCAGGGAGTTTTGGAATCGCCGCCATCTTGAAAACAACGGGGCCGAGGTTTTTTAAGGGCCTCAGGCAGACTATGCCTTAACGTTAGTATCTATGTATGTAGGGTGTTCGATTAGCCTTTTTTCCAAAACCGGTTTTCGAGTTATTCAAAAAATTGCAATTTGAAAAAAAAAACGGTTCCCGATTCTGAAATTAGCAAAAAACCGAATAACCCGGTTTTATTTTACACATTTTTCATACATCAAAAATTCTTATATTGATATGAAGTCATGACCGAAAATAAAGCTAAACAGTAAAGTACCTTTTATTAAGAAAAGAGCAACGCCTTTTTGTATCAAAAGTAAAATAAATAAAAATCAGTGAACAATTCACGTTTGGTCTAATTTTAACTTTTTTTTAATACTTAATTGCATTTTCTATGACTTTGATTGGCTAAAGATTTAAAACTATTTAGGGGTTCCACTTAAACAAGAAAAAGCCTTAAAAACTTGGACAAACTCAAAACTTTCATTCAGAAAAAAACGGTTGGTATGATGAAAAAAGTCCGCCTTATTTGATATTCGAAAAATCAAGATAAAAAAAACCGCATATAGAAAACCGAGTCAATTACCCTAGTACATATGTACATATCGTCGTTTAAAGTGCAAAACCGCGTATCAACAAAATGCAAAACCGCGTATGTGAAGTTGTAGAAATTATTTTCTACAGCGTAAAAACAGTCATATTTCAAAATGACTCTCTTTTTTATAAAGCAATCGCATTTCTGGCTAGTATATTTCAGGACGAATGTATAAGGAGATTGAGCCAAGAGCTTGTGTGAGCAAATCCAATTTTTGGCAGCCAATGTCAGTTACGCGGTTTTGCAGAATGACGATACTTTAAACGACGATATGCTATTTTGCTCCACCTCATCACAATCATTTATTACAGGGGGCCATATTCCTACTTTTCAATCAAAAATCCACTTAAAACCTGTCATTATTTGGTTAAAACGACTTCTCACATAATCACATAGGCGACCTATAATAGAATTTTAGCAACAATATTTTCCACCCATTAACTCCTATTTGATGGGGTTTTTTGATCTGGTTTTGAAAAAATGGCAGAGAGAGTTAAAAGTCCCACAAAAAAGTGAAACCAACAAAAACCTTCTGCGGATTAAAGGAGATGAGTAAAACCATAAAGTTTCATGAAAATGAATTGAATTTTTCCCGAAAAAGTAAATGAGATTCGGTAAAATTTTCTTGGGATTTGACTACCATGTACACATAAATACCAAAGTTGGGGCATAATTGGGTTGAGGTCTTAAAGTGACTATTATATGCAGGAACCACCCTTGTTTTGAAGAGTAAGTAGGGAAAATAAACGGTTTTAATATATAAAAAATGTATATAATATCGCGCCCATGATTAACCCCATCTGATTTAACATACATAGCTATGATAATTTTCATAATTTCAAAATAACCACTTTTCATTTTAGTGGTCGTCTGTGTTTGGTGCTCGGGCATTGGCATCACCGCTGGAGCCCATCGTCTCTGGTCACATAAGTCGTACACCGCGTCCTTGCCATTGCGAATTCTACTCATATTTCTTTTCACTATCGCTGGACAGGTAATATTTACTGCCATTTTATACAAATCAACAAATAACTCAGGGAGTTCGTTTTATATTCCTTGTCTTCTTTCCTCTGTTAACAGCGCGACGCCTACACTTGGGCCCTGGATCACAGGATACACCACAAATTCTCTGAAACGGATGCCGACCCGCACAATGCCAATCGGGGCTTCTTTTTCGCACATGTCGGCTGGCTATTCCTGACGCCACATCCCAAAGTGATCGAGAAGCGCAAAGTGATCGATATGTCCGATTTGGAGAATGACAAAGTGGTTATGATTCAACATAAATATTATATACCATTGTTCGCGTTGATCTCGATCGGATTGCCTGTACTTGTGCCATGCTATTTCTGGAATGAGAATTTATGGTTGTCGTTTTGGATAAATTTCAATCTGCGTTTCACTTGTACATTAAATGCTGCCTTTTTTGTAAACAGTGTTGCCCATATGTGGGGTAACAAGCCATATGATAAGTGAGTAGGAATTGTTTTTAAATTTTACGATTTTGGTAATATTTAAAATTAATTAAATTGTAGAAATATTAGCCCCGTTGAGAGTCGCTTTGTGGCATTTGTGGCACTGGGGGAGGGCTGGCATAACTACCACCACGTTTTTCCCTGGGACTACAAGACTGGAGAGTTCGGCAGCTTCAAACTAAACATCACGACTGCCTTTATTGATTTTTGTGCTAAAATAGGCTGGGTCTCTGGAAGTAAGTTTTATTAACATGCATCCTTTAACGCATTAGGCGTATTCTCGAAGCCAACTACGTTGCAAAAATAATATTCCAAATTTGCAAGAGTACGAGAGCACCCCATTGCAAAGTTGTAGCAAGCAGAAAAATACGTTGCAAGATTCGGCAAAAAAAAGTAGGCGAAATGAGAGGAATGAGGGAAACACGTAGCAACTTCAACAACAAAACAGCTAGCACAGGGTCGCATTTATCTTGCTATGCTTTTTTGATAAATATTTGGATGGGTTTAGTCGTTGCATATCCAGCAGCAATAGGAACTGTAGTTTCCAATGTATGTATTTTGTTGTTATGCAATCCGTGCAACCCGGCAACGAGCTAGGGCTTTCCAAGATTTCGAGAATACCTCTAGTATAAGTTCATTAAGTTACTCTCTGAATTTATTAACTTGAATATCTGGGCATTTAAATTGAAAAAAATACATACTTTACTATAATCTTAATTACACTCATCGTTTCGAAATAAAAAACTTCGCTCCCAAATGTATTCAATCTTTTCAGCCCTATGCGAATTGGAACCAAAATCAATAGATTTTACTATGTAATTGAACCTAAATTCTCAACGTTTCTTTATAACTAATCGGACAATTTTTGACTCAGTTATTTTCTTAGCAATTTTAAGTTCCTAAGCAATTTAGAATGAAAAGTGTTTAAAGTCCTTAAAAATTGTTTATTTGGGAAAGAATTTTCAAGTTTGGTTTGGAGGTAAACCGGATTCGGCGTTGGGTAATATTCAGTGTAATTTTTCCTTCTGTATGGTTCGATTTTTTGCCGCCAAATTATATTCATTTAACTCAGATGTTGTGAGTTTCGTCGAAGATTGGGATTAAGATATGCCGTGGTGTCACTTTTGTAAAAGAAGGTAATTGCGTTCGTTACATTGTAGCATGATTTTACCTATAGAAAGGTAAAAGTTGGTGATTTCTGTACCTATGGTACGTGTTTGGAGAGTCAATGTCATTTTGTTATTATTTTCAAATGAATGCAAACGTTGAAATTAACGCGGAAGCTTGGCTTGAAATTGATTTTTGTGTGTAAACTTGTGCTTCCTTATTCTTCGAACTCGTCTCAGAAATGCTCTATTGGATTGGGGTCGGGCGATTGAGCTGGTGTCTTCAGTATGTGAGTAACGTTGTACAGCATCCAAAGTCCCACTCTTTCGGTTTCGATCATTGTCGCGTTGAAAGTAAGATCCATTGCCTATATTCAAGTCAAGTGCTTTTCTTTAACCCTTCGATGGTCACGTGGTATATTGTTACACCAATAGCCACCTGGCCTATGATCGTAGACCATTTTTGTTTTGAAATAGGACAATGAATTATGTGAATATAAATGATAATACAGTATATTTTACTTAGCTGCCCATTCTTCTTTGCACGAAAAACTTGTGCGCTTAACCGAAAAAAGCACTTAGGCGAATTTTCTTTACTACTTCAATGAGGAAGGTATCTGAACCCCTATGAAACCAAATAATGGAAGAACACTTACCACGTAAAAATTACTGCAAGCAGGTATCGCTAATGTACAGGTATGTTGGATGCATCTATCGGAGCCGTTTCCTTATAAGTGGTAAAAATAATGCCGGTGATGCACATTTTGGAGTACGTATCCTAACAGGTCTGCGCTGGTAACATAAATTTTATAACCGGTAATTAAAGTGTCAATTTCTAAACCTTTTTCGCATTCTGTGCTCTCTTGCAACCTGTAAATTTGGTTACCATATCATAAGCTGGTAACAAAATATTGCCCCGTGAAATATGCAATATAGGAATTTCCACAAATCTTCATAGCTGAATTGCTGAATATTTTCACTGCATTACCAATGTACCTAGAATCGCGGTAACAAGAAGTGGTAACATTTTTTGGTAATACAAATTTTCGGTCACAAAATGTGCACTTAAACATAATGGCAGCAAAGCAAAATATACTGTATAGCATCAAACACATTTTTGGAACTTTTCTCAATCGCATGGGTTGATTTTAAGACAAAATATTTGGGAATTAAAAAAAAAAGACCAAAAGAAATAAACTGCAACCAGTTTTTAGTATTTTTGAGAACAGGCATACAATTAATTGAATAAATATATTTATTAAAAAACTAAAAGCGAAATTCCATCCAAAAATAACTTAATTAGAGTCCATTGAAATTAGGGAAATTTAATTACTTACACAAAATGTGCAGGCATTCCTCATGCTCATTTTGCCCGTAAATCTCCTACAACTCACACAGCCCCCTCTGGAATATTTATTTTTACTTCGAGGACAGATATGAAAACGACCGCATAATTTGCTACGATCGTAGACTACGTGACAATTGCAGGGTTAAAGTTTCTTTCAGAATATTAAGGACTATTTTTTCGTTGCATTCTCAATGAAAACCAGCTCCCCAACACCTAAGGAAGCCATGTATGTTTCCAAGAATGGTCCAGTACTCCATTTTTTACGAAATTGCAGGAAGTTGCAGGAAAAATGTTCCCGTACTCCAAAATCCTCCAAAATCCTGTAAATGAGAGCGTCTTTTGGAGAGTTGTGTAGAGAATGAAGTTGCAAGTTTTTACCCGAACTTTTTTTCCGGTAAAATCATGAAAAGTGTCAAGCAATCACTGGCTGACATTTTTACCGGAAAAATGGTTTTTTTGTTACCGTACTTTTTGTTGTTACTCACTTTTTACTCTCACTTCAGAGAGTAATTTTGCTGTTTGACAGTTTTACAGGATTTTTCACGAAAAGTATTGGATCAGAGCTAATACAAGATTGCGTCAATCGAGCTGAGAGCAACCGGGCGTGTGACGTCGTCAAATAACAGAATGAGACAGCAAAAACGAACTAAACAAGGAGAGGAGAGGAAGAATCGAAGATAAAGCAGTATTGCCAAGTTTTGAACTAAAAAAAGCACCAAATTTTTCTTTGTGTATTTAATAAACTTTATACGCATAAAAAATTTTATTGTAAGGATGCCGTTTCAAATCAATGTTCTGGCATGATTGAAGGTGCTGCCACATATTTTGTTGGCAAACATACAAACGCTCTCTCGCTTATGATGATTTTGTCTCCATTTTTGTTAAGTTGCTTACAACACTTACCATTGCTATAAATTTTGGTTCCATTTCCCATTTACTCATTTTCTGCAGTGGTATGTTTCCATATTTTCTCATTCGATTTGGTGAAGATCTAAGAGATTTACATGGTTTACGAGGCATTTACCCGTTTAGATCAGTGTTGATATTTTAAGTACAATTGTACTTTTTTCAGTACAATTAGTTTTAAAAAGTACAAAAGTACAATTTACCGATTTTAAGTACAATTTTAACATCAAAAATACTTTTTGAACCCAACGTTCTAAACGCCACTAGCACTTTGATTTTTTGTCCATTTAAATTTAAGGTACTGTCCGCCTTCACCTGCTTGAAAATATAGTTTTCGTGACAATTCATACGAAGCATATTTTTTTGTAGCATACCGAGGGTTTTGCGAGATCTTGCTTGATTTCATCTGTAATTTTAGTAGTTTGGAACATTTATTATTTACAATAATAAAATGGAGTGGCGGATTCCAGATGTTTTAAAAAATATGAATGCGTTTGGAATTTCTTGAGAAAAGTATGCTTTTAAATGCCCAGTCAACAAAATTTCATCTCGCTTCCGAGAAATAAAAGGAGAACGCAATCGAAATGTTCAAGCAGGGCATACCTATATTTCATATCTTATCATTATATAAATAGGCAATCATGTTTCCTTTACACCCCTTTTACGGCTAAACTATAATTCTAAGGTATAGACAATTATATATCATTAGAAAGGTATTTTGATGCTGATGTGCAGGCAATTTTTAAAATTTCAAATCAGTTTAAAATAGAGCGAAAAAATCAATTCAAAAGTCACACCAATACCAATGCACACATGTACATGGTTGGGGCGGAAATGCCCCCTAAATGTATGCTTTAATATTGATAGCGAATTAAAGAAACGTGCTAAGCAGCAGTTCAGGAATAAAATGTATGTATGTATGTATGTACATGAATAGATTAGACTCAAACAAGGAAGAAGGTAAAGTTGAGTATGGAGAAGAAGAAAGTGATAAATACAGAAATTAAAATAAAAGTAAAGAAACCTAGATATAAAGACAAAGAGGAAGGAAAATTTAAATACCTAACCTAATAACAATGGTGGGGGTGAATATGTAAATGAAGAAAAGAATGGACATATTTAGATCAGGATAAAGGAAAAGATAAAGATGAAGACCAAGACGACGAAGACGAAGATGAAGATGAAGATGAAGATGAAGATGAAGATGAAGATGAAGA